CCTGCCACCTCCCTCCTGCTGGCACAAGGAAGACAAGTCCAGTAAGATTAAATGTCCTCAGATCAGCCGTGTTTGAAGCACTCCTTAGGACACACAGGCGCCGCCTCAGGAATACAAACACTTCTGCTCCAGGGCTCCGGGAGGGCAGGTGAGGCACCAGAAGACAAGAAAAAAATGTAAACATGGTCTTCATCTGTAAATATAGAGGGGGGAAAGATGAGTAAGAATTATAGACCAGTCAGCTTCTAGAAGCTTTCAAGAGAATTGAACCATCAATCAAATAATTTGCAAGCACCTTGGAGGTAAAAAAGGGAGATAAGTGACATCCAGCATGGATGATACAAAAATGAGGCATGTTAAACTAACCTCATTTGATTTCTCAGCAGAAGCAGGAGTGGAATAGTTGCTTCCATATCTAGATTTTGGGAAGGTTTTGGCATGATCCGACTGGATTTTTATAAAATGACCTGGAAAAATAGTCCAGATAAAACTACTTCAGGTCTCACACAAAACTGGATGAGTAGCACAACTCATTCCCAAAGAATACAATTGTCAGTGGCTCATGGTCAGAGCTGAGGACTCTGTCACCCAGGACTCCTCTGGGGCCAACTTCCTTCAAATTTTCATCAGTGGGAAATGGATGAAAATCCATCATTCCCCCTGGCAGTGATGAGGAGCTGGGAGAGGGGCTTCCACCTTCAAACCATGTTGGCAGGCTAGAGAAGTGAGGCCTGGGTCTAGTCTGGGGCACTGTGCCTCACAGAGGAGGAGGATACCTGCCTGGGGAAGGGGTAGGGAAGTGCCAGTGCATTCACTAAGCCTGGCTCAGGTTGGAAGAGCTGGATGGAAAGCGCCAGAATGGCTTGGCTGGGGCTGGTGTGAGGGGACAAGGGGGGCTGCAGCCTCTGCTCCGGGAAGTTTTCGGGATAGATGAACGTGACCTGGGCAGAGTGGCTCCTCGGTGGGCTCAGCCCCCAGCTCTGGGCTCAGTGCCCAGCTGAGCCCTGTCCCTGCTGTGCTGGAGCTGTCCTGGGGTCTGTCCCACCCCGGCTGGGGCAGTGTCCTCAGGGAGGGGCAGCAACATCATCTCGGGCTTTGCCTTCCTAATGCACTCGTTTGCAGTGCAGGGCTGAAGGCATGTAAGTGCTCTGTTGAACAGAAGCCAAAGCAAGCTGCCACACAGAATGCACCCCCTGTTTCCAAGTATTTCATTTGTTTTGTAATTGAGTAATAATCGCCGAGGCACTGGGCACTTCTTCAGGATTAATGACTTGCTGGGGGACGGCAGAAGATCTCATCTGTGGTGGAACCATCTTCCCCTGCAAATACCTGCCTGTTCCTGCCATTCTGACAGGAGTACAACAGCATAACGTGGCAACATGTGGGGTTTGTTGTTAGCAGCTGAGGGATGGGGAGCAGGCATTAATGGGTACCTTAGGCAATCAGGTTGCTTCAGTTGTCTCTCACCATTCCATTCAGAGCATGGTGTTTCATTAGTCACTTGGTGAATGAAATGGCTTTTTAATTGCTCAGAATCACTTTTTAAAATTACAGCATTCTCTCCCCCTTCCACAGCCCTTGGGGATCCTCTTAAATCCCTTTTCTTCCCTTGCCCTGGAGAGAATCAGTTTGGTGTGGCAAAGAGGAACCTGCCTGCAGCAGTTTTGTTTGTAGTTCAGACACAGAGAAAGATATAAGCCATTTAGAAAACAGAGGATTCACATTTTCGGTGCTGAAAACACTCTGTTCCCACAATTTGCAGGTTGCTTAAGGAGTAGCCCACCCTGCCTAAACCTTGAAAGTCTTTACAGTTTTGACACACTGCTCACTTCTGGTAGTTCCCACACTTTTTTACTGGGCACAGCTCACTACAGCACCCAAACCCCACTGCCCCTTGTGTCCTGTGGCACAGGAGCTGGCTCAAGCCACATCCCAGAGCAATAAACCTCCCAGGAGCCGTGTTGGAGCTTTAAATGTCCTCTAGGCAGTAGAGCACTGCAGCAAGCAAGAAAAAAAGGTGTATCCCAAACGGGTGAGTGGCAGCAGGAACATTTCCAAAGGGCTGTGGAAAAAGCTGCTACAGCATTTGAGCCATTGGATGGCCAAGGCAAGCAAATGGAGAAACGTTTGCAAAAAGCATATAGGACAATAAACCAGTTCATGGTGTCCTAGCAGGCTGTGGAATGGGAGTCAGTGGGGATTTGCTCTCTCAAATATTAGGTAATGGGCTAACTGTGTGATTGATTAATCCACAGGTACTTCCTACAGCAGAACTCAACACTGGCACCCGCAGGGCTGCTCTCAGTCGCCGTGGCTGCATTCCCAGAGAGATTTCACACAGGAACAATTGGGGTGTTTTGTCTCCACTCTCTTTCTGCCCCCTTTAAAAGTAACACTTTTATGCCTGTGCCTTGAACAGTGGCAGTGTGTTGCCCAGCTGCAGTGTGTTCCCTGAGGGATCCCAGAGCCACTCTCCATGGCTTAACTCTGCCCCTTCAGCACAAGGAGCCCTGGTACTCGACTGGGAGCTTACTGGCTTGCAGTATTTAGAAGTGAAAATGTCAGGCACAAGGCCAGAGACAGTTCAAACTCCAAGGAGGACCAAAGCTCACCTCTTTCCCCATACAGATGTTCAGCCCTCTTTCTACCTTCTCAGTTCCTGAGTTGATGTCTGTCAGTGAAAGGCAGAAACAAAGCCAGCCCAAGGTGTGGGCTCACTTCCATCTCCTCCAGCAGCTGGACCAAACAAATTCCAGCAGTATCCTCTTGAGCCATTGCACTGCCCCTTGTGCCTGATCGCACCCTTTTTTTTCCCCCTCTTATATTTTCTTCTCTTAGTTGCCCGAAAACCAACATTTAGTCTCGCTCGTCCAAAATCCAGCCCTGAGCCAACCAACCAGAACGAATGAATTATTCCTGGTGATGCTTTTGCTAACTGCCTGCCTGCCTCCCCTGGGGCCCCTGCTCTGCTGAGCTTCTTGCTGCCGTGCTCATAGCTGGGAGGAACCGGTGCTGCACAGTCTCCCTTGGATTCAAACAGGATTGATGCAGGTCCTTGTGCCTTGTGCCAACCATAACTCTTCAGGTTTGACTGCAGCTTTTGGCAAAGAACACATTTCCCAGAAGTTCAGCAACTTTGTCTGAGTACCAGTGAATGACCCATGAGATCCAGTGTCGACACACAGCTCTGCTGCCCCCCACTCCTTCCCTGTTACTCCAATGCTGCTGTTCCAAACCTCGGCACGAGCACTGGACTCGTGCAAAATCAAAGCTACAGGGTACAAGGTCTGCTGTTGCCCATAACTCCATCAAAATCCAAACTAGCTTTGACAAATCAGCAAGTCTGGATTTAGTAAGTCAGACAGGTTTTCATCCACCCCTATTCAGCTCAGCCTAGGTGGGGTGAACCAGCAGCTCCTTGTGCTGTTTCCAGCTCACCAGCACCATTCCCCTTTCCTGGAGGGTACCCCCACAGAGGGCTCTGCCTAGTTCCTCACATCAGTAGCTTAAAAGTTTCCTAGTCACCAAATAATTTGAATTCTTGTCTGTCTGAGGCTGTCTTTGCTTGTAGTCATATTTTTTTGCGACTCAGGGGCTGTTCAGCAGCTCTTCCCAGGAGCTGAGTGTTCAGTGTTGAGTGAGCCAAGGTTGTGGTGGGGACAGCAGAGAGTCAGTCACTTTGTGTTAGGAAACCTTTCTGTGAGTTTCCCACCAGGGGAAGGAGATCTCTTGTCTTGGTCAGCATGTTTCTACCAGCCTTGCTCTTCATGTAGTCATCTGTTAATAACACAGGGCTGGCATCCAGCCCTGCCCTCCATCCCAGCACTGTATCCATGGCAAGCTCATGGTGATCCCCACCAGTGCTCCCTCTCCCCTGGGAGGTGCCAGCACTGCTCGGGACCTTCAGTTGTGTGTGTCTGGTTTAGAAAAAAAGGCATCAAAAATCCTGTTCCTGACAGGGTGCTTGGTTTTCTCAGCGACCAGATCTGTTACTGAAAGACTCTCTGTTGTCCAGGGACATCTGAGGATGAGCAAACAAGGATTTCATTTTAGCTAAGCAGATCATCCTCTCTTCTGACATTTAAGACAGGATCATAACTTATGTCTTCACTGGGAAGAATTGTCAAACACAATTAGCTCTGCAAATCCTAGCTGTTTTCTAGACACGTCCAGGCTTAGTTCTAGAGTTACTTAGAGATGAACAAATTACAGGGGTCAGTCTTCTGATCTGAGCAAGGGACTGCAAGAACTCCCTCCATCAGATAGTTTTGGGACTCACTCCACATAGTTCCTTTGTGGAGTCTAACAGAGGCCAAGGCACGGAGCATCCTGTGTGCAGAGCTGATGGGACTGGGGGTCCTGTTCCCATCTTGCTTTGGGAAGGGATAACACAGCACACCTTGAGGCAACAAAAATCCCAGCACTGTTTCTAAAGGGGAAGGAAGGAGGGCAAAGGAGATGGGGAGGGTTGCAAATACTTTAAATGCTACATAACTAAGTCACTTCCCCTCTCCATGCTGTGTCTCCAGGCGTACCTGGGGTATTTCTACTCTAGCTCCTTCCATAAGGCACCTCAGGAGTTCCTGTTAAAAGGACTAGACAAGAAATAGGGGTTTCTATCATTTGTTTCAGTGGTTAAGATCTGATCTGGTGGTCACTATAAGCACTGAACATATTTCCATAGCCCTTGACTGGGAAGGTAATTTGGGATCTGGAAACCTCCCCCCTGTGACCAGTGAGCGTGTGAACACAAGGTGCTCCAGGTTCCAGTGCTTGCAGAAAACCTCTTTGAGGGAGAGCAAAAGGGATGCTAATTCCAGCACTGGGCTCAGACACTACCGGTGAACAACCAGAAAGGTTTAAAAAGAAATGCTGACTAAATTAAGCAAATCAAGCGAGCAGATGTGCTCTTCAGGAAGGGCACAGCTGCCTTTTGAATGTCTCCCCCGCTGAAATTACATTCTCAAGAGTTTTTTGTCCTTTGCATTTTCTTCAGGATCATCCACGAGGATGGCTTCTCTGGGGAAGATGTGAAGCAGTACAAGCCAGTGGTCTACAGCAACACTATCCAGTCCCTGGCAGCGATTGTCCGTGCCATGGACACCCTGGGCATCGAGTACGGCGACAAGGAGCGACGGGTGAGTGACAGTCACCCTGCCTGGGCACAGGCAGCTGGGCACCTGCAGGGCACAGTCTCAGTACCTTGGAGGGAAGAGGAGGGAGGGGAGGATATTTCCATCCCCACTGTGTGCCTGTTGCACCAACAGAGGCACAGTTCCATTCGTGTTCCATCTGTGCCCCCGCGCTGGGAAGGGCAGCCCCGTGTCACCACAGCCACGCTCTCTCATGCCCTGGCACCAGCCAGGCCAGGGCAAAACACCAGTCTGCTGTCTAGGGGTGGCCTGGACAGAGGTACCCACAGACCTGGGGAAACAGGGAAAGCATGGAAGCCTTGCTGCTGTTCCAAGCCCTTCCACCAGCATGCTCATGTAGGAAAGCTTTTAGGATTGACTTGATTGGGGCTCGACTGGCTTTTACTCACACATCCCCCATTTAAGTGTACCCAAACAGCAACTTCCCATGAAAACAAGGAGATATTTTACTTCAGGGAGGTTGGTATGGACAGGCTCTTAGGCAGCAGCATTGGCATGTGTCTTATCAGAACAGCTATGTGATGCCTGGCAGCCTCTGGTGCCACACACCTAGGCCAGCCTGCCCTTTTACAGTTGCTGCTCTGTGGTTACTTTCACCAGCTCTCTATTTTTAAACAGTGGCTCCTCTGTGAGGTGCCCCTGCCAGCCTCTGCCTTGCCTTTTTGCATTTTTGGCTCAGACCAAGCCCACACAGAGAAACCCAGAGCCCTCGAGAGGAGTCAAGACCTCCCTTTTTGCATGCTGCCATCCCAGAGAAAGTAAAACTACTTGGTTTCACTGGAAATAAAATAATTTCATATTTAAGCCCAGGTAAAAGCAAAGTCCTATATGCCACTGAGTTTGCCATGACTATTTTTAGGTAGCTCTCAAGTGACAGATGTATGACATACCCCCAACTCCTTATCTGAGGGTTGATAATAGAAGCATTCACTAGCAGGGATGCCAAAATCCCGCTGTGGTGTCACTGCATGGAGAGGTGCCTTATTTCTCCCGGTTGCAAAGAGGTATTTTGATTTCTTTGCATCTGGGGATTTTCTCCTGAATCCTGGAGACATTTCTGTCCCAAAGGTGGAGCCGATCCCCTAATGGAGTTCCTGTGAGGCTGCCGAGAGCTAACGCTGATGGCTCCCAACCCAACACATTAATCTGTTGATTACTGGGTGACTCAGCTCTCAGCAAGGCAACGTATCTCGTCTCAGCTAAAAACCTGTGCCCAGGAAAACAGAAACAAATCGTTCTCCGTGTCTGATAAACAGTCTGTGGCAGACAGTATTAAAATATAAAATTTCTTCTTTTTTTTTTTTTTTTTTTTTTAAAAATTGCCGAAGTCCCAACGTGAGGAGGGAAAGCTCATCACTGCTCTAGTGCCAGGCCTGGCACAGCATGCCAGGGGGAGGGGGAGAGCTGTCATCAGCACTGCCAGGAACGGGAGGTGGGGTGCTGGTCTGCACAACATGTCGTGCTCGTTCATATTCCGATGGAAAAGACTCCAAATGTCCCTGGGATCATGTGATAAATGGGGCTGGAGAGGAGCTCAGGAGGGGTCTAGCCCAGCCTCCTGCTCAGACAAGGTTAGCTCGGAGGTCAAACCAGGTTGCTCAGGGCTCTACCCAGCTGGGTCTGAAATCCTTCAAGGATGGAGCTTCTGTGGGCAACCTGCTCCTCTGCTGTGCTGTCCTCAGGATGGAAGGGTCTGTCCTCACATCAGTGTGAACCACTCTTGTTTCAGTCTGTGTTGTGTGGCTGTAGGGGTCCAGTGTTACACCTTGCAAAGTGAAAGCAAGTCAGATGGAGCTCTCCCCAGCCTAGTTTCCCCTAAGGTATGTAGTCCTGGAGGAGTTACTGCTGTCCTGCTGGCTGTGTCAGACCAGCCTGCCACAAACCACTCCAAACCAACCCACAGCTGGGGGGGCTGATTCAGAGTCTCTGCTCCCTTTGTAGATGGCAGAAATATTTCTTCATCCAGCAGCAGACAAAGGGGAAGGAAACTGAGTCTCTCAGGCCATGATCTTCCACTTGGCTCCTTTCTCTCAGGCCACCTCCACAGAAAGTTGCTGGTATTAGCATGAAATAGTATTTATTTTAATCTTACAAAGAAGCACATGGCTTCTGCTACCCTGCTTTTGTTATTAATGCACAGCTGCTACAAAGAGGGGCCATTAAACAGGCGATTTGTTGAGTATTATGCTACGTGGTTCATCCCTTTTCAAGCAAAGCTTTTCTATTTTAAAAGTCATTCCTCAGCCAAGGGTTTCCAACGCAAATCTTTTAGTGGGGGATTTTCCCCTACTCATCACTTAAGCCCCCAGGAGAAGAGAGCTCAGGAGGGGGAGCCAGGGCTGTGGCTCAAGCCTGATTCAGCAAGCAGGAAAGGAGGGGACATGCCTGGGACAGGTTCTCCCCAGGGACCACTTGGCTATTACCACTTCCCCTATCTCACTTCCTGGGAGACACATCTGCCCCTGTATCCCTCCCAAATGGCATCCTGACCATGCTCAGTGTGGAAAAAAAATCCTTGCCTAGTTAATAAATGTGAATGAGATTATTTGTGTTGTTCTTATTGAGGGAAAATAACCAAATCCTCTCTCTCTGTTCTCATTTTCCTCCTGCCCATAATTGTACCTCCAGCATTTAGTCTAATAGTAGTGAAAGACTGGGGGAAGAGCCCAGACTAAACCCTGTAGCTTTTGGCAGTCAAAGTGAGATCAATGTGGGAAATAGGAGCTAAAAAGACAAAATAAATCACAAAAAGCAGAAGCTCCGGGTCTCGCTGACCCTCTCTGCTGACAAGGACCTGTCCCCAGGTTAAGAACAAAACAGTCTGCGTGTAGGATTTCATTTTTATGTGTGCTCCTTGTCCAGGGCAGCAGGTTCCCTGCAGCTGTGCCTGGCTCAGGGAAGGTTCATGGCCTGTGGGCAGCACCCAGGTCCTTGTCCCGTGTCCTTCAGCGCAGGGAGGCAGGAGCACATCCTGCCAGCTCGTGGCACATTGTCACTGCACACAGCAGGGAAGGTCAGTGGGAAACTCCAGAAGAGCTGTGCAATGCAGAGTCACAAATCCTTTCTGTGCTGCAAGAGGGAGGGTGAGAAAGGAGCAGTGGGTGAGGAGACGGGAGACAGCGGCGGGAGGAGCAGCATCCGAGGGGCTCCTCATCTCCAGGGCCACCAATTCCCAGAGTCTGGGTCCCCCAGGAGCCAAGGGCTTACACACAGCAAGAGGGGCAGAGGCTTAGTCTGGCCTGCCTACTCAGGACCCTCCAGCTGGTCTGTAGGGCACTGCTCAGTCCTTACCTTTATAATCAGATTACAGGCAGGAAAGAGTCAGGCTGTAACGTGTAGCCTCTGGATTAAATGGTCCTCTAAAGTGCAAATGTATTAATAAAACAAGCTCCTCACTGATTCCATTTCAGTGTACCCAGGCAGAGCAAATGGGAAATGGAGGTTTGAAGCCAGGAATCCAGAAGCCAGTCCACGTGTTTGGAAGTGACCAAGCAGGAAGGGCAGGGGAAAATGGATTCTCGTATCTCTGTTTGAAGAGCTGTTTCCAAAGTCTGGCTTCAGAAATCCCAACCAAAACAAGTATAAATTCTCTTCCTGGGTGGGTCAGTGCTGACCCCAGAAGCTGCTTGGAAAAGTAGCCCATGCAATGCCACCTGGGATAGATGCCAGAGCTGCAGCCAGGCTGGGAGCTGGGGGTGTCTGCAGGTTGGAGGGGTTGGTCCCTGCCTGCAACGAGCCTGCCCAGGCAGACACCCTGCCCCATGCAGGGTGGTATGGAAACAGCTGTGGAGTGTGCTCTTATGTTCATAAACCAGACAGAAACAGGCTGAAACTTTTCAGAAATTACTCAACAGAGAATCCAAATATCAGTTGCGTGGCTCAGATCCAAGTGTCTGAGGTGGCAGGTCACAGGGCCAGCACTTGGGGTCTGGAGGTGGCAGGCAGTGACCTTCACAGTGAACTTTTTTCCCCATGTGAGTCTGGGCATGTGTCTGCTTCAGCTATGAAAGGGAAAACTAAAAAGCTGCTAAAGTGTTAAAATATTTTGATAGAGAGTTTCATTTTTCCTTCGGACTTTGTAGCAAAATGTGTCTGTGGTGACCTTCTGCTGCGTACAGCCTGTAACTCCTGCACTGAGAGCCAAACAAAGACGTGCTGGGACATTTTAAAATACTGGCTAGTAGCATGTGAAAAAATGTCTGTGGTGTGATTGAGCAGCCCACCCGAGGTGGCTGGCAAAGAGGGCCACGTCAAACTGCTTCTGAACAGTGAGGTGTCTGCAGAAACTCGGTACCTCCAGCCCCATCCCCTCTGCTCGTGCTGAAAGGGGGTTTTAGGAGCAGCCCTCTTCCTCCTGCTCCTGCTTGGCAGTGGCAGGAGCAGGGTTGCAGCCACTGTCACCCGCTGCCTTCCAGGCACTCGAGGGGAGCAGTGTGGGAGGGGATCTCTTTTGTAAGACCTGCTCCTGTGTAACTGGATTTTTCTACTTGTCAGCTCAAGGTATTTGTGGATGTTACTTCATTTCAGTCAGGTATCTGTTTAGACCAGCTGGCTCCTGCTGCGTGTCCCTACCCCAAGCTCTCTCAGAAATGCAAAAAGGCTGCTAATAACTTTGGGGAGGGCAGGGGAGGTTAATGAGGCGCTGCTGTGCTGGTAGGAAGCTGGCTGGGTCATCTGGGGGATGGACACAGTATTCTCGGGTTTGTGCTGCTTTCCTGAGGATGCAGCCAGCCCTTGCTGATCTGCTGTAGTGAGCAAAGAGAACGTCACCATGGTGAGGCATAACTTAGGGCTGCTTTGTAGAAGAGCAGGATGGAGTGGGAGAAAAGGGAAAATGGAATAAAGGGGTGGCTTTAGACACCCCATTTTTGCCTGGTGTCAGCATTTGTCTGGATGTCCAGCTGCAGCTGAAGTTATTTAATCATTCCTGCTGTACTGGTTCTGCTGGTCTCAGACCCATTACAAATATCCCAGTGACAGTCCAG